TATATATATATATATATATATATATATATATATATATATATATATATATATATATATATATATATATATATATAATATATCAAGTTCCTAGTACAGTGTGATGAACCGTTAAGTTCCTAGAACAATGCGATAAACCGTTTAGAATGCCAAAAAAGGACAAAGGAAATAGATACGAAGCATTTAAATAAGCTGCAACTAGGCCAAATGAAATTCAACAAATGAAACTGGAAAAGAGAAAGTAGAGACACTTAAGATAACTTGTTTGTCTGCAATAAATTGAAAAAAATTTCCCAAGCGATCTACTCAAGTAGATAATATAGTTGCAGAAAAAGTTCATCAAAAAAAGGAAAGACATAGCTTACAGACATAGCTTATAGATTTAATGTCTTGCTATAGAGTCAACTTCGTTTTGAGGTTAGTCTAAATTATTGGGACAACTGTTGGACTCAAATCCTACTTACAGCTAATACAGGAACTGGAAATCCAATTTGCCAAACGAATACTTACGGCATCACAACACCAAAATATTTACAGAGTTTCAAATAACTATAAAAAACGGAAATTCAAAAATGCATTGAAACTCAAATATCATCATCTAGAACAATGCTAGCATTTATAGCATCCCGACTGTTGTCCCCATCAATTATGACATCCTGCTCTTGAGCATCATCATCAATAACAATATCATCGTTATTGACATTTCTGCCAGGGCCATCTACTTCAAGTGATTCACTTATGACCATAACATCGTCATCACCCAATATGGACGTTCCTTCCAAATCGATCACTGCTTCGCTATTAGGTGATGCACCCAGTGCTACTGCCTCATTTGGAACTGCTATCGATAAGATACTAGGATGCACCGAGAACATACCTGTAAGGAAAATTGAATGGTGACCATAGACCTTAAAATGAAAGTCATCGTAATCCTTTCTTTTTACTGGCAATTCAAACCAAAAACTTCCAAATCTTGGAAATTTTGTACCCTCAGTGTTCTTATCGAGGCTTGGAGTATAAGAATTAGAGTACAGATTAGGAATTTTATCGGTGAATATTACCTGGGGTACTTACTGACTTGGGATACTTACTCTCAGGAAATGCTTGGAAATTAAAATACCCTAATTACGAATGTAATTCTTCTTTTACGATTTCTGCAAGATCGATTTTTGCAAATAATCGAAAAAAAAAATTATCCGAAAAAAACCACTGACTAATACTTCTTAGAGACCTGACAGGATCCCTAGTTCGATCAATACCTACTAATATCTTACTCAAGAATCCATGACGAAAAGTATCGTAATCAGAACGTAATATCCCGTGACGAAGCTGCAAATCCATTAATCGTTGACTTCTGCGACGTCGACGCAAACGTTCAAATCGCCGTCGATTATGGGGAACTGCTGCAGAATTTCCTCTGCTAGAAGCACTTGAAAGACCCTTAAAAAGAAATAAACGAACTACATCCCTATAACTTTTTTACTACTTCGTTAATTATGAGCAAAAGGAATCTTTCTGAATGCACCTTCTTGGAAATATACCTTCAGCCCATAGACTACCATTAAGTAAAGAGTCAAAAACTTGAGAATTCAAAAAAAAAATACCTGTTCCTCATCGTCATTACCATCACTTAAAACAATTTCTCCATTATGATCGCTATTCTGTTGCATTCCTCGATTTGAATTTTCTAGCTAAAAAAATGTGAGCTGGTTAAAACTTACAATGTTGTTAAGTAAGAGTTTTTTGGAACGCTTTTTTAAAAAAAAAGTTTCTTAAAGGATATATGTAAGTAAAAAGAGAAACGATATGAAATATACACAACTTACCCTGCTTCGTATTCGATGACGATACTGCATGTAAGCTTGAAAAATTGCCTAAAATGCAAATCAGTTAGTGTAATTCTGCGCCCAACCGATATTAATCAAATGCAATCACTGCTTTTTTTTCTCTTTTTTACATATCTTGCTAATGCCTGTAAATTCCTGCTGATCAAATGAAAAACTAACAAATTCATTCATATTGCTCAAATTTGTTAAAAGAATTTAAGTTATTGAATTCGTTTCATCTATCCTAAATAAAATTGACAAAATTCACTTCGATAGTTTCACCCAGAGCCGTTTGTTCATTTGGAGGAAGCATCTCATCACTTGTTTCAAGGATGAGAAGGAAACGTCGCAAACTTATTAACTGTAAAATTACAGATTTAATTAAGACAGATGGAAGGATCTCGAATAAGAGATTTTTCAATCCAGGAAATTTGGAAAATCTGGAAAAAATGAGACGAGATTCATAAAATTTGAAATTTGAAGAAAAATAATTTAAAAAATGACAACATGTTTCATTACTCAAAATTCTCCTTCTCTGAAGATGTGAGTTTCAGAAGTGATTTAAAACCAAACAAGTGTTTGTGCAGTAATCAACATCAACTAGAAAATGATGAAGAAATCGATAAATTAAAATCCAAGAAAAGGGGATTAATAAATACCGCATCAGTGTAAGCAGACACAAAATGCAAATGCGATGGCGAGATGCTTTCAGCACGACCTTGTGCCAGTGTCTGCCCAGAAGCCCTAAAAAAAGGCAATTTTAAAATTATTTTTTAATGGATGAAGAAGTGCAAGAGATATGTAACATAATTACTTTATTTCTTCATTAATAACCTTAAAACATTGTTGGATGACAGTGCAAAAAACATAGATTTCGAAGCAACTTACTGATTTCTGTTAGGTGGGTAGAGATTATTCAGTTCTATCTGAAATAGCACTTGCTACACTATTACAAAAAAAATGTCTATATCATATATATGATCGAATGAATGCATCATTCTTCATACTCCATTTCATGCCACCCTATCTGATTTTCAGTAGGCTGTTACTTGCTCGGATCATACTTTCGTCCATTGATAGAATGTAGAATTCCCTCTATTTTCTCAAATCTTTTGCTAATATAGACTGATAGGTGTTCAAGCTGAGTTCAAAGTTTGTTTCTGAGTGTTAATCCTTTCAATATTCAAAAAGCATAAAACATTTTCAAGTATAAAAGATCCACCTGAATGTCGTCATCATTGATATTATCTCCAAAGAATACTAAATTCATATTTGTCAGTCGTCGCCTATATTCTACCCTGCTGAAAAATACGCAAACCTGTTAGTAATTTGTAAAGAAAAAAGTAAGTTTCTAGACATTTGAAATTAACAATTGAAAACAGGGACGATTCCACAAAGATCCTCATTCTTGGAGAAAGAAGCGAAATATGCACACTGCAGACTACAACCATACCTTATGTATATTAGCATTATATTCCGGTATCATGAAATAACACACCTGATATATTCGCTATTCTGATCGAACAAACCTATTTCCTGACCACTGACAGCAAATTCATAAAGCAGTTCCACAAAATGATCAACAAAATTAGCTAAAACATGGCACTCCTTGCGAAGACAAGAAGTGAACTGCGGTGACATGATCTGATGGGTCTTAGCTAAATCGTATACAAGTTCAACAACACGCTCCAAATTATTCGCAGCCTGGAAATTTTATGACAAAAAAACCGATGGAGATCCCTCCAGAAGTTATACGTAATTATTTGCAGTTACTAGGTTGCATTAAAATGATATACCATAAAGGAGATTTCTCTTACCTACTTAAATTAAAGATACTAGATAACACAAGTTAACCTACTTTCAAAGGAAAGCATTCTACATTGATTTTTTAAATTACTGCTTCTTTTATGCCTTTCTGCGAAAAGCCTCATTAACACTATTTTACTTATGACTGAGAAGGCAGAATAATTTAGAATAAATTACAACCAATAACAGAGGTAACAAAATTATGCAATACTTACTGGCACAATAGCATTAAGCTCACGTCGGACAAATTCAGAAATACGAGTTCGCTCATTCCTTTCATTATCTCGAAAATATTGCGGTGAAACACTATTGCGATGAATTCTTGTATTAGTAGTATTAACTACTGATACACGTTGTAGCCGAAGCTCATAAACCAAAATTCGAAATGTTGGATCGGATATTATTTCACGTCTAAATCATTTTACACTAAATTTGTTCACAAAACAATAGCTACCAGGTCACAAGAACTCTATTCATCCAGTCTAAAATGCATCGCAATTATAAGTAAAAAATTTCATACCAACCAAACATATCTATACAAAATTTCTTGGAATATATTTACAAGCTAGACCAACCTAATGCTAATCAACCAATTTTAGCGATTTTTTCTTACCCACATGAAATTGCCAGGAAGTCCACTGTAGTCCAAAAGCTGATAAAAAGTTTTAAAAAGTTCCAGGAAAAGATTAACACTTGCTGGAAGGAAAAATCAGTGATCATCAGATCTGTTAAAAAATTTATGTATATGTTCTTACCAAAAGGTACTTCGAGCAGAGCATGAAAATCTAACCTTGGTCGTTCCCAATTATCCAAAAGCAACTGATAGCGATTAATCCGATCCACATATTCATGGCGACGAGTGTCACTTTCCAACATTTCGGATCTTTGTCTTCTGAATAATACCATAATATATGCTCTATCAATGAGACTTACTGATTAGATCAAAGAAGAGTAAATACTCGAGTTAACAAGGCGATAATAAATGCAATAGCTGTTACTCAAAATCGCATAATGCTTATTTTGCACATGGATAAGTTAGCGCTCATGTAAAGATGAAATTAGCGCTCATGTTAAGATGAAATCTCAGAAGAAATTCAAGCCATGTGTTGTCTTTCGCATAGAAAGTGTAAAAATTATAAAAAAAAATCACTAATAAAATATTGCGCGTATTGTCTTGAAAAGTAAATCGGACAGTCTTTCAAAAAAGAAGAACAAAAACTTACTCGTTGAACACATGGTCGTGCAAACGAACAAGTCTTTGAAGATGACGTATGCGACGTACTAATTCAGCACGTTCTCTTGTAAGCGGACGTGCGGAATCGGTTTCAATTCTTTCTCTTATTGCTTGCCGCTGAATCGATTCCACTGTTATTCTACAGAAGAGAAAAAACGATTGATACACCTAAAGGCCAAAATTTGAAACAAAAAACGACTTAAGATAGAGACAAAGTATCGTACATTTCTCGTCAGTATCAATGTTAGTTTCCTTACATCATACAAAAGCTACTTCCTTTTTAATGATGTATTTCTTATCTCCTCAACAAATGAAGGAATGTATAATTTTATTTCATCTAAACAAATGACAAATCAGAGCATGAAGGATTCGTATGTTTTTGACTGACCATAGTAATCTGCACAGCTACATTATCAAAGTGTTTAAAGTTCACACTTACGCGGATAATTAGAAGGCTCCTGAGAATTCATAAAATGCCCGTTATATTCAAAATTCTACTGTAGTTATGGCGAATGACAGTATTTTAACATACAGTATAAGAAGATGCAACCTTAGGCAGAAACATACTCTTCTGTGGTCTCAGCATCATTGTTATCTGTTTTTACTTGATGGATAACTTTTGCTACTGGACGTTTACACATCGGACAGATTGGCCGCAATTTGATCCATTCCGTTATGCATCTGTAAAGCAAATAAGTTTTCAAATCAAGAAAAATCAACTGCTAGCAGCATATCTAGGTCTCCTCTTGTCATAATCGCTAAGATAAGCGCGATATTTAGTAGAAGCAGCTGTTTAAGAGTTGAAAATCATAAAATTCAGATAAATCAGATGTTGGTGATGCAAATGTCTAAAAAATGGCGTACGGATAGCAATATTTATGTGAACAGCCATTCAAACTTGTTTCATCAAACATCGGGACCCCCAAGCAAATCGAGCATTTGTCGGCCTTAATATTCATATTAGGGTCATGTCCTCCATTGGAACTTATCCCTTCTGATTCTTAAAAACAGAATTAATGATGAATAAAAACAACACGACTTTGACTAATCATGACAATTTAGTTGGCAGCAGTCCAACATCATAGGCTTACTTTCGGAAAGATAAATTTCACTTCAATTACTTCCAAGCCAGTCTCAGTGTATTTCCCCAGTGATAAATAGGACGATAAAATGACAAACTTTATTCTTCATCTCTCATACCACTTTTCGGATTGAGTAACGAAAGTTTCAAAACAACCTTGTCAACCTTGAGGGAAATTTTCCGAGATAAAGCTAAATTAAGTAGTTTTATTATAATTTGTTTGCATTCTCTTTCAGAGAGAAGCAGAAAGTACAACAATGATTCCAGTCAAACCACGAAATGAACAAACTTTGCTGTGATAGTAAAACAGATGGATCGCTGTTTCTTGTACGACACTTTTCCATGGTATCCTTGGATCATACGAAGAATCTCTCGATGGCTGGGGGCTAGAAAAGAAAGAGTGACTGGTACGGCTATGAGAAACTGGGCATTGTACTAAACGTACATTCGATACTTTAAAAAAAACCACACAAGCATAATCCCAACCTTCATATTTGATCCTAAGCTCATCATGAAAACAATAAAATCAAGATTAGGAAGAAAGCAACTTATAGCCAAACAAATCTAATCCAACTACATGTGGATTCGCATGAATTCATTGCATAATAAAACGCAGTAAGCAAGGACTATTTTGTCCCACACACAAAGATTGATGCTTTGAAAAGCACAGGCTTAAGACGACAAACACAAGCTCAATCTAACCTAATAATATGTAAAGCATCAGAATTCATTTTTATACATATGCAAATAACATCCTTCAAATCATGTAAGCAAAGACCTTGCACGGTTTCAAAATGTTATTTAACAAAGCATGATGAATCATCTTAACGATCACAATGCTTACGAACGATTCAGACTAACTTTTCTTTGACATTATCATTAAGTTCTAATTTAGAGAACTACACTGTTGAAATTGAAATCGAAAAACTGAATCCTGTTTAGTGTTGCCGAAACACTGTTGCCGAAGCATCTGAGAGCTATTTAAGACATTCCTCTACGAACTTCCTTACAATAATCTAGCCTAACTAAAACATTCTGCGAGAGCAATCATCCCCTAGCAGATCACAAACATATGCACTGCACAGACCTCGATCAGGTAAAGAGATGTCGGGCCGCAAAAAGATGGGACGTAAGATTTTCAGCTCGACGGTTTTTCCAGTCATCATTGTGGGGAGTTGTACTAGTCGGGGTGGGGGGATGTGGTGTCGTTAGTGTTGTGCTGGAGCTGTGCTAAGTTAAATTTAAATGTGAGATATAAAATTAATATAATATGTAACATACCGGTAACAACTTAAACGCCATCAGTTTTCTGATCTTAATATTGTGAGGCTTATGTAACCTTAGAAATAGAGACACCAGGAATGCATTCCTATGAAAGGAAATATAAAAAAGATTGACTAGTAGTTCACTCTGAGAGAACCATCCTGGGTCATGAAATATGGATTGAAATGAAGTAATAATGGGAGAGAAGGGGAAGGATGTCACAGTTATAAGCCTTTTTTTGCTTTCATTATAAGACAGGAAAGAGAGAGAACGGGCTGCAGTAGTAATTATGAATGGTCATTTATTGATAACAGTACATTCATCACGTAGAGATGGAAAGAAATAGTTGTCTAGATGGAAATCGCGTGAAATGAGAAATGATATTTGATGAAATAATTTTACACTGGTCGAATTGAACATCATTTCTAACAGGCTGATGTGATGAGTGGTTAGTCAAGCAAGAATAGGGAAGTAGAAGTTTTCTATGAAATATTACCATCCTGTCTTACACGCTTTGGAAAGTTGGCATCCCTATATCATCCCTTATTACTAAAGTAGATTTTTTTACGAGGCATAAGCAGTTTGAAATTTGTTCAGGTTACACAACCTATTGAGTTCATTGTTTAGCCATTTGGTAAAGCAGTGGATCAAACGAGCAAGATAAGAAATAAGAAACCATAGCAAGATAAGAAATCATCATCCCATTGAAACTCTGCTCTATAACACCGAATGGACGGACAAAGTTTAGTTTGGAAGTGGCTTGATTAACATGATGTGGTCGTAAATAATTCTTTTTGGTTTCTATCACGAAGGTTCAATAGAGCAAAGCTATTTTTGACTTTTCGCAGATGCGCAATAGGATTATTTATCTTGTCCTCGGCTTTACCATGATTACATTAAAGCATATAACATAACGTTCGTTGGTTTCGGTAAGTAAAGCCTTCATTCATGCAGTTATTGTGCGTACTATATGCTCCCTCAAACTTGAATTCGGCCTGAAACAAACTCGAATAACCGTGCGTTTATTGGGAAATGTGTAATATCGTTATCGTACACACTGCAGATGTGATGTATGCAAGTTATCACAAATGTTGCCATCGGAACGAATTAAAACGTTCAAGAAGGTTCTGAATGCAGGACGAGGAAAAATTCCTGAATTTAAGGCTGGCTCCAAAGCAGTATTTCATTATGAGACATTGAAACCGCTGGTGAATGTGAATGAGGAAGGATTCCCAGATTCGAGGTGAAAAGCTTTTATATTTCTGTAATCTTATCACATGACAAAACAGAGGCTGCATGTTGTAGAGATAGCTATAAGTCGATCGATAATACACGAAAGCCATATCCAGATGGTTATGGGAAGCCACTGGAGTTGGTATTTGGGAAGAAGTTTCAGTTACCAATATTTGAACGATGCTTAGAAACGATGCTGATTGATGAGGTAATTCCGTATCCTTTCTTTTCATTTTAATTTATGAGTACTTGTCTGTGAATGACCAGTGAGTTGTAATAAGATGTCTGTCCATGATCTGAGAACAAAGCTGTAACAAAATGAATAAGACTTATCTGTGAAATTTCGAGTACTGGATTATTAAACAGACATAATCTTGTTAAAAAATGCTATAAGATGGATATCAGGGGGAGATGTCATGTAGAATTGTGGAAGTGGAACATTTCTATTAGATTTTTTGTATTTTTGATATCTCTGGAATCGAATCAGTAGATTACTGTTATGGAATCGAATGTTTATTTTATTTCTAATATATGCAGTTCATAAAGTAGCAATCAGTTTTAGATCAGTCAATTCGATATAGCTGCTTGTGAGCTCTATCCATATCCGTCAGTTTCACAGAAACTTCGAAATATATCTAAAGATGCCATGCATTTAGGCAGCCAAAGCCATCACCACACGCACTGTGTTGCAGCAAAGGATTTCACGTTCGTATTTTATTAATCGATGAATTAACAGGCTTCTTAAATTTGTCTGCAATGGTGTGTTATATTATAAGCTGTGCTATTATAATCCTATTAAACTGTGGGAACACCATACCTTTTGTTTCATGTTGTGAACATAATGGAATAGATATACTTTTTTCATTTTTTTCTCGCCCTCTTAGTGGAAGCAACATATTGCCTTAATTTCAGGTTACTCTTGTCACCTTCACCCTCTCATGGAGAACAAAGATAGGGATTAAAGACTTAAGTTTAATCTATTATTCTTCTATTCGAATTGTTCAGAATGGAATATGAAGATTTGAATGAACTGATTAAGAACCCTCAACCACTGCGATTTATCTTTCATCTGTTGGTTGTTTTACAACCGGAAGATTATGAACCAGATAGCTGGCAGTTAGAACCAGATGAAAAATTAGCAAGTGTCGCAAAATTGAAAGAATCTGGGAATGAATATTTGCAAAAGGCAAGTCTGAATGTTTTTCTGGAGAGTTTTATTCGCTGTAAAAGTGATAGAGCTGCAGTTTGTTTGTTTCAGAAGGGAAATGAAATAAACAACTCTTTCAAAATCTTTCGAACTGGTTCGGAACCACAGTATTTATTAGTAATGTAACTGCATTGTGGTATAGTTATACGCAGTTTTCGCTACAATACGATAGAAGTGCTTTAATTTTAGGGTGATTATGAAAATGCTTCATTGAGATATAGAGAAGCCCTAAATCGCATAGATACTCTTCTGTTGCGTGAAAAACCAGGTGATCCTGAATGGATTGACCTTGATAAGCAGGTGATTTTTCCACACAGTTTTTCAGATTTTCCACTTTTTGTTTAGAAAGTTCGTAGTACTTCGGTTTGTGCAGTTTTCTAACTTCTGTATACTTCTGATTTTAACTCCACATATTGTGGTCATTTTTTACTTCCATAATCTACAGATAACATGGAAGTTATCACCAAAGTTAAAAACGAATATACTTAGAGCCCGATTTTCTTTGTGAGCTTATGCAATTTATCAGTTCTAGACTTCTGCAAATATCTTGGATTCCATGGTGGAATTCAATAGTATCGTTTCATGAGAAACGTGCGTAAGTCGAGGAAAATATTATTTTTGGGAGCTAAGACTACTTTTTTTATGTATGTTGCAACATGCATTCCTGTGCTTAAGGAATTTGTAAGGGCATAAGAAGGACCAATAAGTCGAGAAATCACCATTTAAAAGTGGAATTTCCTTGAGATTAATTCGATTTAATAGAAAATGAGAAAATACCTTTCAGATGCAAGGAAGCATAATCAGTTTTTTATTGGTATCATCAGTCATATGAGAACTTTTATATGTCCCATGTTTCGGTATTTTTTTTTTTTTTTTTTGCAGAATATACCTCTGTTTTTGAATCTTTCTCTCTGTTACCTGAATTGGAAGCAGTATTATGAAGCTATCGACGCTGCAACCGAAGTATTGAAAAGAGACAAGCTGAATGAAAAAGCACTGTACAGGCGTGCTAAAGGACGAATCGCTGTTTGGGATCTGGAAAAGGTCTTTTTCAGCTTTACTGTTAAACATTGAAATTCACAGTTAGTATTTTGCATTACCTCTTTTCTATGTTGTTTCACCTGTTAATTAGTAAAGTAGTCATTTGAAATATTTCAAATGCGCCATCTTTCAAGAATTTGCACCAGTTTTGTAGGGCGTGACGTAGAATTGAGTGTTTAAATTGTCAAACCATAACTGATGCAACTCATGTTGCAGTTCCAGGGAAAACGCCATTTAAAAAGTAAATTAAGAACTCATTTTCCCAATTATTTTTAATTGTCGCCTAATTTTAGGCTGAAGATGATCTAAAAATGCTTCAACGGCAATATCCGGGTAGTACAAATTTGGTGAAAATTGAACTCGAACGAATACAGTCCCTTATAAAAGAACGTGAAGAAAGTGCCAAGAATACTTATAAGCATATGTTTAAAAATGTTTACTGAATGTTTTTCTTGAATCTTGTTTAATACTTCCATACAATTATTGCTTTCCTTTTGGTTCTATTTGACAATATTTTTTCAATCATCAAGGAAAATAGTGTAAGATTAAAGGTATAAACTGGGCAGCACCATCCATTTAATTATTTTTTAAACTATCACATGTAGTTGCAGTTATTGAAACATGTTTAGAACGATAAAGAAACTATCGATAGGCAGGAGATTACATAATCTGCTGTTATTAAATAAGATCTTCCTTCAAAACATTTTTTCCTGACATGAAATAATTTTGTAAAGTGATAAGCCTAAATAGAGGTTCTGTAGGACGATAAAATTTTTACACTGTGTGTTTTCTTCTCGAAGCGTTTGTTTTGTTGTGGTAATAATTTGGGTGTTTTTCGATCATTTTGATCTCGTAGCATTTTGCTGAACAGTGGTAATAAATGTGTGTAGCCGTTTGACTCTTTGTTCGTGATATGGCAAGCATATGATTTTACATTCCATGATGGAATTCAATAATATTGTTTGATGAGAAACGGTGCGTAAGTCGAGGAAAACATTATTTTTGGGAGCTAAAACTACTTTTTTTATGTATGCAGCAACATGCGTTCCTGTGCTTAAGGAATTTGTAAGGGCATAAGAAGGACCAATAAATCGAGAAAACACCATTTAAAAGTGGAGGTTACTTGAGGTTAATTCGAGTAGGAAATGAGAAAATACCTTTTAGATACAAGGAAGCATAATTAGTTTTTTTGTTGGTATCATCAGTTATATGGAAAAAGATGGTTGCAGTTGTTGAAACATATTTAGAGCACTAAAGGAACTATCGATACGCAGGAAATTACATAATTTGCTGTTATTAAATAAAATCTTCCTTTAAAACATTTCTTCCCCACATGAAATAATTTTGTAAAGTGATAAGCCCAAACAGAGATTCCGTAGGACAATAAAATTTCTATGCTGTGTGTTTTCTCGAAGCGCTTGTTTTGTCGTCGTGATTCTGATCTCGTACCATTTTGCTGAACAGTGATAATAAATGTGTGTAGCCGTTTGACTTTTATGATATAGTAAGCATCTGATTTTGCATATTAAAATGAATAAGCAAGTCGGATTTGTATTAGATTTGCAAATCAGATTTATAAATTACTGGTGCTAACGTTAGATGAATAGTTTGCGTTGTATCGAAGAGAATTAATTGCTAGAGAAAGAAATATTACTGATTAGCGCCATCCTACATAATTTAAATTGTTATAAGAGGATTTGCTAATTATCTCCGGTTGTATATGTATATTTTATCTTGTGATATTTTCTACATACAGTTTAAGTGTATGAATGTGAAAACCAAGCGTTATTCATTCAAAATGCATCCATCACTTACTTTGCAACGGGAAATTAGGAGAAAGATGGTGCTGTAATTATGATCAGCATTAAAGCTGTCGGGAAAGCTAATCTGCTGAACTCGTTTCATAGCGATATAGATTTATTCAGGATGTAATATTGTTGTTGCACAATATTACTAGTTAACAACAAAAGGGGTGTAAAATATATATATGTATACATTACGGGGTGAATGGTAAGCAGTGATAATGAGTTATACAATAAGCAAGTAATATGATCAACTAACAAATTCCTTGTTGTTCCCTTCGGTAATAATTTGACTGTTGTTTAGTTGATAGGTCGCTGAGTTGGGGATATGTTACGGGAAATGTATTTAGTGAATAGAAGAATATCGTAGTTTATTGTCCAGTAGTGGCGGATATACGAAGATGTCGTCGTCTGTAGTTCAGTAGTGGTGAATAAGCGAAGAGGATGTATCGTCTGCTCGGTTCTAAAAAACTGGGCTGTTTGGGATTTTCCATATGTATATTACATATATATATATATATATATATATATATATATATATATATATATATATATATATATATATATATATATATATATATATATATATATATATATAGTAGTAGTAGTTAGTTAGTTAGTTACGTTACGTTA